CAAGATAAAGACCTAATAAGTGAGAAAGAGGAGTGGGTTTAAATATTTAAGTAGGTAGATGGATGGCCAGGTATTTAAAGAAGATTATTTAAGGCGAAAGTTCGGCACAGATTCATCGTAATCACCAGATGGTAGGATGGGGAAATCCATGCTTAATTCCATGCTTATAAATCCTCAGGTTACTTAAAATGAAAATTTATAAACCATTCCCTCCTAATTTCAGACGATTTTGCAAGATAAAACAAAATAAATTTATTAAAGGATTCTGTAAAACCAAGATTATCTTCATACACACATCGCCAAGTAGAATTAAGTTGATGCAAAAGCGCTCACACCTCCAGTCCATTAAATCGCTTTTTTTGAGAATATCTGATACAAGAATGTTTTATTAAAATTCTCCCAAATTATACTGCTTTTGTCAAAGTATGTTGCCACTGCTTTTAAATTTTTCTGTTTATGTACCAAAGAGATAAGATTAAATTAAAATATATAACTAATGTTTATTAATTTGTTTTATAAAGCGCTGCTTGGTATACCTCTTTTACTTGGAAACTTTGTGGGCCTTGTTTCACTGTTCCTTCGCATACACCCTTCTTCATCCTCCTAAACTCCACACTATCGAAATGCTCTCCATCATTCGGCAAAATTTTCACGAACAATGTGAGGCTGGGCTGAATAAGCAGATAAACATGGAACTTTTTGCTCACTATACTTACCTTTCAATGGCATATTATTTTAATCGTGATGATGTTGCCCTAAAGGGGTTCCATAAATTTTTTCTCAAAGCATCTACTGAAGAGAGGGAACATGCAATGAAGGTTCTTTAGACGCTACCAGTCCTTTATTATTATTGAATTATATTTTGATTCCGTTTTACAGTTAATATATTTAATTTATGCCTAAAGTGGTAATGAAGTTTATTTTTCTGCATTATAGCCCATCCTTCCACTAAGCTTTTTTAGTGGGACCTATAAAGTGGTTCCTTATTAATTCTGTTTTTGCTCATTGTTTCTTCTTAGTTCTAAGTAAATAACTTGCAACATTTCAGTTAATGGAATACCAGAATCTTCGGGGAGGCCATATTGTCCTAGCTGATATTCAGAAACCAGCTCGGCATGAGTGGGGCTCGGGCTTGGATGCGATGC